TCTTTGCCACGCAGTGTCCCGCCCCTGTTACTCATTCTGTAATATTTATCTTGCAGTCCACTCACTTTTTAAGAGTTTTACATGCCTTTCCAAAGGATTCTTTGTATCAGGGTTCGCAACCTCTGGGATCTAATGCCTGATGATCTGAGGTGGAGCAGATGTAAATAGTAGTAGAAATAAAGTGCACAAATAAATGTAATGCATTAGAACCATCCCGAAACCATTTCTCACCCTCCAGTCCACAGAAAAACTCTTTCACACAACTGGTCCTTGGTGCCAAAAATCTTGGGGACTGCTGCTGCTCTATATCATTTATATGCCATACATGGAAAACTGGTTTTTTTGAAACATACCAGAAGAACTGCCTAGGTGTTAAAATATAAACAGTTTGGTGAAGTTATAAACAGATGATCTCAGGGATGTACCAGCTTTGGGAGATTCTGTTCTAGTTCATCCTCTTTGTGTTTTTTCTCCTTTCTCTGAACTGTGAGCAAGTTGTATCCCACCCACACCCCCCCCCTTCAGACTGGAAAGAACTGGGTGGTTACTAAAGAGGTGGCAGGGAGGGGGGGTGTCTTCAGGTTTCTCTTCCCTTTCACAGGAGGCACTTAATGATTGACCCATCCCGTCATCTCATGAGGTAGCAAAGGAAATGGCATTCTTATTTGATCATCAGGAACGATACATTCCATACGCTTCCTTTGTCTACAGATTAAAACTCTATTGCTTGTTAATCGCCCAGTCATGTCTGACTCTTTGCAACCCCGTGGACTGTAGCCTACCAGGCTCTTCTGTTCATGGGATTCTCTGGGCAAGAACCCTGGAGTGCGTTGCCATTTCCTCCTCCAGGGGATCTTCCCAACCCAAGGATCGAACCTAGGTTTCCTGCATTGCAGGCAGATTCTTAACTGTCTGAACCACCAGGGAAGTCCAGAGTTCTGTCGGCTGGTTGCAAATGAACCATTCAGAGCCTAGGAATCATTTTCTTGGGCCCTTGACTTGTTAGGTGTTTGTTTGTTGGTTTATTTTGCTGCATCGGGTCTGAGCTGCAGCACACAGATTCTCTAGTTGTGGCGAGGGGCTCAGTAGTGGTGGCCCTAGGGCAGCTCTGGCCCCCAGACCCTCTCGTCTTATACCTGGTTTGTGTTACTCATAAGCCTTGTCTGTCTGCCTGCTATGGTCATTTGAGCCTGTATCTCATCTTTAGATTGTCATGAACGTCAGTTTAAATACTGGGCTGGATAGAACCACTTGCACGATGTGACCGTGTCAGTGTCCTGGATTTGCCATCAGACCATAGATACAGAAGTTGTAATCCCTGGGGGAGGCTGGGCCGAGGGTATACAGGACCTCTCAGTAATATCTTTGCAACTTTCTGGGTCTATAAGTATTTCAAAATAAAAATTCAAACAGAGGCCTCATCTTTTCCTGGGGTCAGTAGCTAGTTGCCTCTTTGGGGCAGTCATTGGGTCCTCCCAATGTTCGTATTTGTGTCAGGAGCAGTTCTACTGACCTGACAGTGTTTCTTTCCCACAAAAGGCAAAGAAGTTCATTGATACAAAGTTGGCTGGGATGAATTTATGGCTCCTAAAGCTGCCCATCTGTAGTGTATTCTCCATGACATCTCATCATTTTGATGAAAGTTGGATTTGTATTAAAGTTTTTGATCTTTGTCAGGTTGACCTCTGTTGTGGCATGCAGGATCTTTAGTTGGGGCATGCTAACTCTTAGTTGCGGCAGGTGGGATCTAGGTCCCTGACCAGGGATCGAACCCAGGCCTGTTGCATTGGGAGTGCGGAGTCTTAGCCACTGGACCACCATAGAATTCTTGATATTTAGATAGTGTTAAGATGCTGTTAAAAGATGCCTCCCAACCAGAAGGAAAGCAGCCTGTTGAACATTTCAGTGCTGGCCGAAGAATTGACAATGAAGTAGGCAGCTGAGGGTGGGCCTGGATGGTGTGATTGGGCAAACTGAGGCTTGACAGCCCAACACAACTCACCAGTCGGTGGGCCTGAGTGAGCCTCCCTCCTCTTGCCTCTTGCACAACATTCTGAACGTATCATTGTTAAATCAGGCCACTTGTTGTTCAACCTAAGTCTTGTCCGACTCCTTGCAACCCCATGGACTGCAGTGCACCAGGCTTCCCTCTTCTTCATTATCTCCTGGAGGTTTCTCAGATTCATGTTCACTGAGTAGATGATGCCATCTAACCATCTCATCCTCTGTTGCCCCTCTCTCCTGCTGCCCTCAATCTTTCCCAGCATCAGGGTCTTTTTCAATGAGTCGGCTCTTCACGTCAGATGGCCAAAATATTGGAGCTTCAGCACCAGTCCTTCCAATGAATATGCAGGATTGATTTCCTTTAGGATGGACTGATTTGATCTCCTTGCAGTCCAAGGGACTCTTGAGAGTCTTCTCGAGCACTGCAGACCATACAGAGATGCATATCAATTTCTTTCTCTCCCTTATTTTAAACTGTGTGCTTGGAATTCACACGAGGGGATTAGGAGTAAGCTGGGATGAATGACAGGAGCTGGCTTAGGGGATCCAGGAAAAGCAGCTGTGTTAGCACGTCTGTTGGGCAGTGTTTTCCTACCTGCAGATCTCGAGATTCCTTAGTTGTTTATGAGCTTTAGACACTGGCTCTTTGTATCACAGAGGAACTGCAGCTGCCAATAGAAACATTTGTGACAGGCTGTCTAGGAGGAGGACGATAATTAAGGAACTCCTTCATGTCTGACTTTCTTTCCAAGTTTCTGAGATGAATGTACACTTTTAGGTGACACCTCAGTATATGGTCGTGTCTGCAGTTGGTACTTGTGTTCTTTCTGCCAAAATACAGTGCAGAAAAGCACAATGCAAAGTGCTGTCTCTGTGGGCTGAGGTATAATAAGATGCATTGGAAAGAGTCAGTGATTTGCAGTCTGCAGTTTGGCTGTCTGCAGTTTTTCCACTGAGCAAATATGTGGCATATTATTACCAAGGAATGGCATCTCCATCCATAAATAAATGGAATCAGAAGCTTACCTTGGTGAATTGTTGAGACAAACCAGTTGCAGAAAAATTTGTAGTAGGATCCGGTTTCATAAAGTAAACTCTGAATGTATCAGGTTTGTAGTGACTCTGAGCATGGAGGAGACGTGAAATGTGTGTACTGGCTGTTTAATGGTGGTTGCCATGGAGAAGGATGTGTGGGACAGTAAACAGAGGAAAAAAGTCTTCAAACAAAAATTTTGAGGCATGTGAAAGGGTGTTTCACCTGTGAATAATTATATTCAGTGATGTACGTATGTGTGCATGCTCACGTGTGCCTAGAGAAAGAGTTGATAGGATGGAAGTAAAAATGTTTTTGTTATTCATTTGCTCAGTCGTGTCCAACTCTTCCTGACCCCAGAGACTGCAGCATATCCCTGTCCTTCACCATCTCCTGGAGCTTGCTCAAACTCATGTCCATTGAGTTGGAGATGCCATCAAACCATCTCGTTCTCTGTCATCTGTTTGTCCTCCTGCCTTCTGTCTTTCCCAGCATCAGGGTCTTTTCCAGTGAGTCAGTTTTTCGCATCAGGTGGTCAAAGTATTGGAGCTTCAGCTTTAGCATCAATCCTTCCAATGAATATTCAGGGTTGATTTCCTTTAGGATTGACTGCTTTGATCTCCTTGCTGGTAAGAGACTCTCAAGAGTCTTAAGAAGTTAGTGAGATTTATTTCAAGGAGTTTTAGTGGAATTTTTACATTCCTTCTTAAATGTGTTCTGATTGAGTATTTTGCAATGAGTGTTTTATTTTTTATAATTACAAGAGACACCCAGTCATAAAGCTCTTTTCATCGTAAGGCAATATTCCAGCATATGTAAGAACACTCAGGCTTAAAACCTTGTGGGATAGGGAATGCGTAGGAGCAGAAAGTGTGGAAGAGGCATTTGTCTCTGGGGCCGAGGTGAGAAACCAGTTTCAAATCCCAAGAGAGACAGAGAAGCGCTCGTTGGGTTCTTGGAGACATAGACCTGGGTTTGTATCCAGACTGTGTCTTACATATGACCTTGGTGTTGGCCATGTGACCTTCTCCATGCCCCAGCTCCTCTCCTGCAGAACGAGGAGGGTATTACAGGGTCACCGCACCTGACATATTGTTAGGTACTTAAACATGCTTCCATTGAATGAAGAGCGGATGAATGTATACATGTGGGCTTGATTCACTGAGGTCACATGTGTAAAGTCTAAGCTGTGTGGTAAATTCTCAACAGATGGTGTTTTCCTCTCCTGACCTTCGTGTCCTAGTGCTCAGCCCCAGGACCCCTGGGGAGTGAATTTAGTAGAGTGGGATCTTGTCATTGCCTGCGTTTCATGTTCCATCCTGTGGTTTCACATGGGGAGAGGGGTGGGGCAGGTGGGCTAGGTTAACTGCTTTTCGTCACTGTACCACACTTTGCTCATCTGTAAAATGGGTGTTGTGCTAATACGTACCTTGGAAGGATTGAATGAGATAATAAAGACTTCATGTGATGCCTTGCAAATAATGTTTAATACATGTTTAGTTCAGTTCAGTTGCTCAGTCGTGTCCAAACGCATGTAGTCGTTAATAAAAATACTGAGTGTTCCCCAAGTAAACAGTACCTAGTATGTGTTTCTGTAAATGGACATACTGTAAATTTGTCCATTTTTACAGTTTCTGTAAATGCTGCAGAGTGCCTGACACAGAGTCGGCACCTAACAGGTTGTTAGATTCAAATAACCTGAGGACAGCACATGCCAGCATCCTGAATTTGTGGATGCTGGAACCAATTAGCGCTTATTTCCACCATGAATGGGTGGTTCTTGAAGGCGTTACACAAATGTGCCCTCACTTTCCTTGTCTTTTCCAGCAGTGATCTCTAAAACAGAATATATTCATATTTACCAGATGCACACTGTGTATTTTCCTTACACAGATTATCTTCCTTCCTTGGGTCTAAGTTGCCAATTTTAAAATACATTTTTCTGGCATTCTTGTACCCGCAGAGAAAACGAAGTGCTCAAAGTGCAGCTGAAGAAATATGTAGGCGCTGTCCAGATGCTGAAAAGAGAAGGCCAAACAGCCGAAGGTGAGGGGCAGAGGGACCGGGTGGGGCGGGGGCTGCACCTTTTCATCCTGATCACCCCTGTGCCTGGCCCGGCAGACACTCAGCATGGGATGAATACACCTGCAGATGAGTTAGAAAAATGGTGCTGCTTAGGATTCCGGAAAATTCATTAGACAGAAAACCCTGCTCTGCATTCTTGCAAAATTGTAAGACTTACTTGCTGGACTGTTAGCAATCATTGTATCAATTTGTGCAGTTAGGGAATTGTATGACTAAAGTCTTAAGACATTTGCAAGGTGGTGAACCTTTAGCACGATTAAGTCATGTCAGGCCATGGGCGAAAGCAACAGAATGCCAAGTGGTGGAGAATCAATGGGGTTAGGCTGATCAGGCTCCAACCCCAGCTGTAATTCTGTTTCTTAATCTCTCTGTTCTTATCTATAAAATGGGGTCAGTTGGCAGCGCCAACCTCATGAGGCAATCCATGTAGACATCTTAGCATCATGCCTACCAGAAAGTGAGTACTGAGTAGATTTGTTGTTATTTAATCACTAAGTCTTGTCCGACTCTTTGCGACCACATGGATGGCAGCACACCAGGCTTCCCTGTCCTTCACTATCTCCTGGAGTTTGCTTAAACTCTTGTCCATTGAGTCAGTGATGCCATCCAGCCATCTCATTCTCTGTTGTCCCCTTCTCCTCCTGCCCTCAATCTTTCCCAGCATTAGAAGTCTTCTCCAGTGAGTCAGTTCTTCACATCAGGTGGCCAGCGTGTTGGAGCTTCAGCATCAGCCTTTCCAATGAATATTTAGGGTTGACTTCCTTTAGGATTGACTGGTTTGATCTTCTTGTAGTCCAAGGGACTCTCAAGTCTGCTCCTGCACCACAATTCGAAAGCTTCAATTCTTTGGCATTTAGTTTTCTTTATAGTCCAGCTCTTACATCTGTACATGACCACTGGAGTGGATTTTAGCTGCAAATCATAATATTCTTGATCAGAAATACAAGTAGATAGAAAAGTGATCACTTAGCCAAGATCTCCCTAAATCAGGTGGCGCCGTATGTTTCCTCCTTGTGTGGTTTGGCTGCACTTGAACTGTCATGACTCTGCTGAAATGTTTCTTAGGTCAGCCTGAAGACAGAGTATTTAACTTTAGCTGAAGTGTCTTGCAACCTTCAGCCAACTGACCCAGAACAAGATTTTCTTAAACAAAAGCAAGCCCTTGGAGTGTGGACATTTTAACAGTGGGGAGCATGCCCCATGCTCACAGGTCTTGGGAGTCAGCCAGTCCTGAATTAGAGTTCAGGTGCATCCTCCATAACTTGACCTCTTGGAGTTACTTTGCCATCTCAAAGAGGAAAAGCCACACCAATGTTAGAGGAAATCACACCAGTGGCACGAGGGTTGTGGGGATTTACCAAAACAGTGAATGCAAAGCCTTCATTCATATGGCACCCAGTGTATAGTTGGTATGCAGTACATGTAGTTATCTTTCTGTGTCATAGAGGGAGACAAGATTATAATCTAGGTGTGATTTGCATAGTAATATCATAAAAGATTGGGTTTTTTTTGAGTTTTTATATTTATTACGGTCTCCATTTGATGAGGTTCAACACGTTGATTTTCTGTTTACTTTTCTTTGATAGCATGCCTTGCTGTCTTCATCCCTAGTTTGTAACTGCTGCCAGCCTGGGGGTTACCACTGCAGCATTAATCTTGTTTTTCTCAGGGGGACCATCACCCTTCCCGCACAGATACTGCTCGTGTGGCCCGGACTCCATCTCATTACACCGGGCCGTGTCTGCTTTGGCCTTGTGACTCCTCACTTCTCGTCTTTGTTTCCCCAGCACCTGGCTTTTGCAGCCAATTCATTTCATTCACCGCATGTTTTGAATAAGTAGTTTAGCCCTTTATCCTTTCCAAGCAAGTTCAAGTCTATTCACATTTGACTCAGTAATCCTGGGATGAGTAGGTGTTTTCCCTGTGTTTTAAAATATTCATTATTAGAAGTTTAGGAGAGCTTTAAAGTCTTGTCTGTGGCTCTGGGGTGGAAATGAACTCAGGTCATTTCCTTCTAAATCCCCGATTCTTTGCCTTACGAACTTCCTGAACTGGTGTTCAGAGGCCTTTCCTGGGGCCTCATCTCAGGGGATCTTGGCATGGGGGTTGGGAGTGGGCTCTTGATTCACATGTTTAGATGTGCGACTCTCATGCAGGTGACCTGTGGACTCTGCCACCACCATTTCTGAAATCGTTACTCTGCCCTCACTGAAATTATTTTGATGCAGTAAGAAAATTAAACCTGAGGTGGGGAGCACCACTGGGCTTGAATTTGATTTGATATCTGCCATACTATATAGTACATTTCTGAGTAGGAGCATTTTTGGAGTAAGTCGTCCCACCAGCCCGCAAGCAGAAACTACAGTGTACAGAAGGGTTTCTCACTGCAGCCAAAGTCAGTTTTCCTAAGACCCAGCTTGAATGTGCTAAGGGCCATCACATACCCAGCTCTGGCTTAAGTGGAACAGAGCAGAGAGGATGAAGCATACTTTCTCACTCATTCACAGTCCTTTCGTCATTTATTGTTCAGTTGCTCACTTCAGTTCAGTCGCTCAGTCGTGTCTGACTCTCTGAGACCCCTTGGACTGCAGCACGCCAGGCCTCCCTGTCCATCACCAACTTCTAGAGTTTACCCAAACTCATGTCCATTGAGTTAGTGATGCCATCCAACCATCTCATCCTCTGTCATCCCCTTCTCCTCCTGCTGTCAATCTTTCCCAGCATCAGGGTCTTTTCCAGTGAGTCAGTTCTTCTCATCAGGTGGCCAAAGGATTGGAGTTTCAGCTTCAGCATCAGTCCTTCCAATGAATATTCAGGACTGATTTCCTTTAGGATTGACTCGCTTGTTTTCCCTGCAGTCCAGGAGAGACTCTCAAGAGTCTTCTTCAACACTACAATTAGAAACCATCAATTCTTCAGCACTCAGCCTTCTTTATGGCCCAACTCTAACATCAGTACACGACTACTGGAAAAACTGTAGCGTTGACTCTCCAGAACGTTGTCGGCAAAGTCCCTCTTACAGTCCCTTACCACTCTATTTTCACCAGGTCATAGAAGACCTTCTGCCATATCTGGGAGTCATTCTGGGTGAAAGGTCTTTATGAAAGTCCTTCAGTGCAGGCATGAACTGAGTGATGCCCTTCTGTTCCTTAAGTCCTGCATTTTTTCTTTCTTCCACTTAAGTAAAATTCGTGAGCACCAGCTAACTTGCCAGACACCAGCAAGCAGCCTTATTAGAAGATGTGCTTTCAGAAATTGTGCTCTGGCCTTTCCAGAGCCTTTACCTAATTTTCAAGTGATGTCATCTACTACTCAGAGAAGTTGGGACTCACTCCTCAACCCCAGCCAACTGCTGACTCAGTTTGTTGAAAACTATGGAGTATGTGCCCTGGCCAGATTGGGGTGCCTTGCCCTTGTCAAGCTGTGGTATCTTGGGGGTGTCCTGGATAGGCTGGGGTGGGGGGCTTGGTGTTTCCGGGGAGCTGGAGGACAAGGGGCAGGGAGAGGTTGGCCAGGGAGAGTCTTTTCTGATCCAGGATTTCTGTGGCTCCTGATGTTAGGCGGACATAGAGATGTGGACCAGCTTCTCAAATTCTAGGTGAGAGTTCACAGTGCTTTTTCCACAAAAGAAGCCTTTTAGGTTGAGGCTATAAAACTTTTTCTTTTTTTTAATCATTTGGACAACAAATTGTGAAACTGAGCTCATCAGTAGGGAAAAGAGTGAGAAATCAGTGAAGCTCCAAATGCCTTCAGGATTGAGTAGATGGCTGAAGGCTATGTTGGGATCATTATATTCATTGTTGTTGTGGGAAGTGCCTTCAAGATTAAGAAAAAAAAATCAATTTAAAATGGACCTTTAGAATAGATTGCTGACAATCTTTAAGAGGTCAGTTGGTAACTATTTCAATTCTGAGGTTATCATGACTCTTCTTCCCCCTCAAGTTCTTTATGAAACACTGACATAGGAATCCGACAAAAGTGTTCAAAATGACGTCTTTATTACTGACAGTTCGTTGGAAACTCCAGCTTGACTGAAGCCAGAATCACACTCCCTGGTGCATTGCCTCCCAGGTGTAGACCCTGGGAACCCTTGTGAGGCATTGTTGGTTCTGCTGAATGATGCCCACCCAGTGGGGGCCAAGGAGGAGGACGATCCAGGGGGGCATTCTCTTTTTAACCCAGCTTCTCCATTTGACTGAGGATCTCACAGTCATGTAGGAAGTGGGGAGTGAGGCTGAGAGTGTGTTAATGGGGGATGTCTTCTCATGGATGTATGGCCCAAGGTGGGGGCCCTTTGGTAAGATCTGTGATGACTGCAGATCTTTCTGAGTGCCTCCTGAGGGAGATGCCAGCAGCGGGGCTGGGTCAGCAGGGTCATTCCTGAGTAGGCATCTCCTCCATCACGCCTGACCATCTGGGGAAAGGCTCTGTCAGCAGAAGGAAGGCTTGTTTAACCTGTCGCCGTGACCTTTCTCCAAAGGAGTCACCTCATCCTGGTCCCTGTACATGTCCCCACCAAAATAGTGGTCATGGCCAAAGCGTTTGGGAATCACCGTGCGTTCCACATTCTTCTTGCTCATTGTAATTGACATTAGTAAAGGAGGGACCCCTGTGCCAAAGACACTGAGGACTTCCCCAGGGTAATTGACTTAGAGACCATGTAAGTTTCTGTGCCTCAGTTTCTTCCTCTGTAAAATGGGAACTGTAGCAATACCTTCCTCATAGGGTTTTGGGGGAAGAAGAGCTAGATTAGTGTATGGAAAACTCTTAGAATAATGTCTGATATGTAGCAGCCACTCAGTAAATATGACAGTTATTGCTATTACTATTTTTACTGTCTCACTTTCTCTCTCATGGCCCCTTTGAACACTTATGAAATTAGGATTTATTGAAATAGTATATATACTTCGTAGGTTGTTGTGAGGATTAGCTGTTAAGGTGATAGGTGTAATTCAGATAAC